TACAAAAAGGATGGCAGATTTATCTCGTCTAGAGTATGACAAACGAACTAAGTTTTTAGATAGAGTGTTTTGAGCATGTGAACTCATTAATTGTAGTTGGTAATCTACATTCTCCCAAATGAGTGTCTAAGTAATGTTGTCGATGCATACGGGTCTTTTATGGACTTGTTTGGTTTTTCCTCGTCTCTTGTGGTCCCCTACAAAAATTTGTCTGTCAAGTTATTCAAACTTAGAAAATGACGCCACTTTATTTGCATTAACAAAACAACAAGATCCAGACACACATATTTCTAGCATACATTTGAAAATAAATATGTTTATATGTGACATTTTGCGATTTGATAGGGGACTCAAAAATAATGCGACATGTGTGCATCAACCCAGCATCTATGGTCCCAATTGCCATCCTCTTGATTCACTTGGATAATACGATTTGAAATGTGAGTACTTCTACACGATTTAAGGATGAGTTCTAGTCAATGTGATTGTTACAATCGATATCGAAGTAGACATCATATCTGGTTGTCATGGACCGGAGATCTAGGGAGGATTACTTCAAGTAGGAGATTGGTTCCGTGGAGTTACTTGAGTGGAAAAATGGACTGATGTGGACGACAATTTTCAGGAGATTTAATGATCTAATTCTACCCTACATCGCTTTTGAAATATATATATCCTTATAGATTTATAAGCACTTTCTTACCAGCTGATTTTATGGGTGAGTTCTACCCAGTGTGTTTGTTACAACACGTCAATGTTTTTATTGTCTTATATTTTTAACACTTTAATTACGTTCTTAAGAAAGAAAAAATTGCATAAAAGGTTTCTAGAGTTGTAATAAGTTAGTTTCTAACCGAAGTAATGAGAAAGCATAGTCCTCAATATATTCGATTTGTAGCAAGTTGATCCTCGTTGGATTGAAACGGTCAAGTTGATTGCTAATAAAACACGACTTGTAATCTCTTCCAATCGTAAAAAATAAGTAAACGCATTTAACTTAGACTGAAAATAACTTAATACAAAGAATAAGTTCACCATTTAATTTGACATGAGTATTTCCAAGTTTCAGGCAAATAAACCTAGTCACACTGTCGTTATTATGACCCGTCAACAATCTATTAAGAATTGTGGTTGACTATTCTGAATTAGACATTTTACTAGTATAATTAATTTAACAATTAATTCGCAGCCAAATTAATTGTAAATCCAAAAAGTTTATGTTGAAAGTCGAAACAATTATTAAAAGGATTAGCTGTTGACATTAAAGAACCAAACAAGTAATAAATGCTTGAAAAATGACAACCCGGGCCCGAATAACCGCCCACATTACCTACTCTTAGTACAATATTTCAATTTGACAATCAATTTCTGTATACTGTAATGCCCTTCAAAACTTACCCTCGTACTATAATGCAGATCATGTACACGTGTCTAACACATTCGCAAGGTTTTTACACAGTCAAGCTACTATTCTATACTGATAAAAGTGTACAAAAACTTGCGCTTCCGTGCATTATCTGAGGCCCTCTAGGTAGCATTCGTCGAATGAAGTGTGTCTGATTTTGAGCTATGCTGTATTGGAGTTTCAATGGATACAAGAAAAACCGGGTTTCTATTTTTGACTCTGTTCTTTACTTTTAAGAGGTTCCTCTGAACTCTGAATAGAGGCTTCTGTGGAGGTGTAAAATGCTTCAAATCTTGTCTGTGCAGTTCCTCTGAACTCTGAATAGAGGATTCTGTGGAGGTGTAAAATGCTTCAAATCTTGTCTGTGCATTTGATGCCAAGCTGTTCATGCTGTAGGTTGACCTAGTCGAGGTTGTAGAAAGCAAGCTACTGTTCAGAAATGGGGGTTGATTTGGTTCGGGAATTTCACAGTCAAAATCAGTAAGCATTCGGACAACCTCGGACATGGATGGTCTTGACAAAGCTAAAGCCTGTGTACATAAAAGCCCGATTTTTAGCACTCTCAATGCCTCAAATTCTGGAAAATCGCCTTTTAAAGAAGGATCGACAGGTTCCGTCAATCTATCTGACTTGTATTGTTTCCAAACCTGTATGTGAAAATAGCATACCACATTGATAAATATGTACTAACGAATGTAATGCAATGACGATGGAATTTGGAAAGTACCGATTGAAGGAGAGAACCCGAGTCCTCGACGAAGGCATTACTTTTTCTATTGCACGTGATTTCAAGAACCAACACGCCAAAACTATAAACATCAGCCTTCTCTGTTAGTTGTCCTTTTACTAGGTATTCGGGAGCCATATACCCTCTGCACCGCGAGAAATCATATATTAAATTTTGAAACTGGAAAATCTTATAAACATAGTGCATGTTTGGTATGTCATGTTGGACCAAACTCGAGAATATAATGAAACTTCATTTTTTTTCCTAATAATGTCCACTACTATCCAATCCATCTTACAAAAACATGCCAAAAGAATATATAATTATCTTAGGGTAATGCGATGATAATTTTTCTTACAATGTGCCTGCAATTCCTGTGCTAAGATGAGATCTATCAACAGCAAAACTTCGAGCAAGTCCAAAATCCGCAATTTTGGGAGCGAAATTTTCATCCAGAATAACATTGCTCGTCTTAATGTCCCTGTGAATTATTCTATATTCGGAACCTCCATGGAGGAAAGCAATACCCTCTGCTGTTCCAACTATAATATCGTAGCGCTCTTTCCAACTTAGAATCTTAACCTTGTCGTTACCTGAACAAAAGAAATAGAAAAATTAAACCATCATATAATAAAACAGATGAAACAGCACCAGAAAAAA